TTGATCCGCCCACCTCGGCCTCCCAAAGTGCTGGGTTTACAGGCATGAACCACCAGGCCCTGGCCCATTACAGACATATCTTAATAAGGACTCAGGTTTAATACTCAGACTGAAATGGAAAGCCACTGGATGGTTTTAAGCAGAGAAGTGACAAGGTATGACAGGTTTCAAAAGAATCACTTGGGTTGCTATGTTGAGAAGAGATTTAAGAGTCGCAGTAACAAAACAAGGAGAATAGAATCCAAGCTAGAGATGCACAGGCGCTGACTAGAGCAATGGAGATGCAGATCCTAAGTGGTCTAATTCTGGATAGTATTTTGAATATAGAGCAAATAAAATGTACTGATGGACCACATATGAAAAAGACAGAGAAGAGTCAACAATGTCTCTTAGTTATCCAAGAGGAGACATCAAGTGGAGACCTTGAGTGGGTCACTAGACATATTAGTCTACAGTAGAGGGAGAGATCCCCGTTAGAGAGTTATTAGCATTGTTTGGATTTTAGAAAGGCAATATGGTACATATACTGTATCATCTCTCTCTCCCAGCTAGGGCTGGGGTAGATCCCCATAATCAAGCAGTCGCATTTCTGCATCATGCGGGAGAGCCCAGGTCAGGTTATGCCCCAAAATTAGGTGTGGAACTAGACTTACCAAAAAACAAAAACTCTTGCATTTCAGAACTACAAATAAAGGATGTGGACCTGCATATCCTCCAATAGCCCATATATCAGCAAGCCTAGCCCTGGAGGACACCAAGAAGACTCATGAAGGGTCCACTGTCATGCTGAAAAATACGGGTAACATACAAGCACACAAGACAAAAAGGGGGTAGGGAAAACAAAAGCAAAAGGGGCAAATAAGAAATACATCAGTTAGAAATTGCCACCAATGACCAGGCACAGTGGCTCACGTCTGCAATCCTAGCACTCTGAGAGGCTGAGGCAGGAGGATCTCTTGAGCCCAAGAGTTTGAGACCAGCCTGGGCAACATAGGAGGACTTCATCTCTATAAAAATATTTTTAAAATTAGCCGGGTGTGTGATGGCACACACCTGTAATCCCAGCTACTTGGGAGGCTAAGGTAGGAGGGTCGCTTAAGTCCAGAAGGTCAACACTGCAGTGAGTTGTGATCATGCCACTGCACTCCAGCCTGATGACAGAGACTTCGTCTCAAAAAAAAAAAAAAGACATTATGCGAAGAAAAGACATTATGCAGCTGGGTGCAGTAGATCATGCCTGTAATCCCAGTACTTTGGGAGGCCGAGGTGGGCGGATCATGAGGTCAGGAATTCGAGACCAGCCTGACCAACATGGTAAAACCCTTCTCTACTAAAAATACAAAAATTAGCCGGGAGTGGTGGTGCCCCAGCTTCTTCTTCGTGGAGGCCGAGGCAGGAGAATCGCTTGAACTCGGGCGGCGGAAGTTGCAGTGAGCTGAGATTGCACCAGTGCACTCCTGCACTCCAGCACTCCAGCCCAGATGACAGAGCAAGACTCCGTCTCAAAAAAAAAAAAAAAAAAAAAAAAAAAAGTCTAGTGCCTAACACAGTATCTGTGACACCGTAAGTACTCAATAAATATCATCTTTTATTATTCAAGGGGCAAGGAAGGTGTATTTTGAAAAAGCATATACCACATATTTTTTTTTAAAGGCCTACAGAAAGTAAAGCTTAACAAACTCTTGGCTGGTGGAATTGCCCAGAAAAGTGAGAAAGTCTTGAAAAGCACTATGCTGAACTACTGAATGCCATGGACATAACCTTTTAATTCCAATTAAAATTCCTGGGTACTAACATCTGCCATGCACAGCTCTCCAGTGTCTTGTCTGCTTACACTGAAGATGTAAAAAGAATTATACTTTGCCAGGAATCTTGTCAAATTACTACACACCTCCTTCCTTAAAAAAGAAAAAAAGTCTTTCTCTGTATGTAAATTATTAAAACCCTCTTAATTATGAAGTGCCAATCTTTCTAAGCTATTTATCTCTGAACAACATTATAGTATATAAAATAATTATCTGGAGATTATGAAGCATTTATGAAACCGCTCCTAATACAGCAAAACCAAGTTCTTACTTGAATCCTTAAAGACACTTCTGTGTTCCCCAGTATACAGCACTGCAAATCATGGGAACTACTATATGTAGACCAAATTTTCCTCAGTGGTCAATAGTTCTCCACTATCTGTTTATGGCATCAGAAAAAAAAAACACCTGGATTTTTTGTATCCCCACCAATCTATTACAGCCATCATTAGCTAAACTAAAATGCTGTTGCTTTTGCAACTTCCTTGGCAGAGAAGATAGAACCTACCCTTTTCACATAAACACAGCACAGGGCACCACTCAGGCCCTACTAACCAAAGCACAAATCTAGAATTTCACTTCAGATAATTAACCAGAGGCTCATTTAGACATTACTGCATAAATAAACATTGGTTCCATGTTTATTTTTCTCATGAAAAATGTGAAAAATATTGAAATAATTTCTCTCAATAGGAAAAGATAATGTATCAAGTGAAAGCAAAAACTTCATCTAATGTGGTTCTGCTATAGGTTAAATTTGAAATGTCCTAAGGCGACTCTCCAATACAGGCTGGAGAGCAACGCTACAGAAGTCACATAGAAGGCTACCCTGATCCACAACTTCACCCTACTCTGAAATATAAAGGGCAAGAACACTGTACTATGTATACTATAAATAGAAAGTGGTCTAGATGGTCGAACATAATTACATAAAACCAGAAAGAAAAGACTTCTCACCTATAGTTACCTAAATAGCAAATTCTTTGGGAAACCAAATTTTTTTTGTTTGTTGAGACGGAATTTCGCTCCTGTCGCCCAGGCTACAGTGCAATGGCCCGATCTCGGCTCACTGCAACCTCGCCTCCCGGGTTCAAGTGATTTCTCCTGCCTCAGCCTCCCCAGTAGCTGGGATTACAGACTCTTGCCACCATGCCCAGCTAATTTTTGTATTTTTAGTAGAAATGGGGTTTCGCCATGTAAGCCTGGCTGGTCTCGAACTCCTGACCTCAAGCGATCGGCCCGCCTCAGCCTTCCAAAGTGCTGGGATTACAGACATGAGCCACCGCACCCGGCCGGGAAACTAAGTTTATATAGTAGAACCATCTGCACAATGAAAGCATTCAAAGCTACAAGTGTCAGAGATATCAGAATATTTTATTCAAAGTCTGAATTTTTCTTAAAAAAAAAAAACAAACCTATTTTATAAACAGACCAGTTTTGAGATTAAAATGTAAATCCCAACTTTCCTGTTATAAATCTGAGCCTTGTAAAGAGGAGGAGCTTCTACTGCCTTTTCAAGGCTAACTTGGTTAAAGTCCTAACGCACCGAAACAGACGCCAAGTCTACTACCCACCACCCATTGGCTCAAAGGAAGCCCCGCCCCGTACAGCCACGGTAACTGAACATCAAGGAAACCCCAGAAAGGTTTTCTCTCCGCCACATTTCTAGTCTCTGATGACTCCCTGCCCCTCCCCGACCATCACCACCGCGGAAATAGGGTTCCAGCACCAGCCACACACGCTCCTACAAGAGGACCTTAGGCACTTCGCCCCAATAGATACAACCAGGAGGGTGGTGGGGGTAACCATGCTCCCACTCTCCCAGCTGCACGGTGCCAGACACGCTGCACGAAGCAAACAGAGAAAGCAGCTCCGACACAGGGCCCTTGTGCCCTAGGCAGAAGGCATGACCGAGCCACAAAAGTAAGTCCTGACACCTCCGCAGCTCTCAGTCGGCGGGAGCCCCTCCCTCCCCACGGAGACATAAGGCGGGGCAGACCTAGGCGGCGAGACTCCCAGCCAGACCCGACAGCGGGCTTTCCCTAGCACCGCCTCATTGCCAAGGAGGCGGAAACCCAGGGCCGGGGTGGGAGGCGGGGGACGGCCAAGGGGAGTGGCATCACGGATCAGTACGGCCCCTCCGGCCAACCGGATCCCGAGAAGGCGGAGGAACTCAGACTTCACGCCCCCTCCCTGCCGCGCCCTGAATCTACACGCGGGAGACCCCCCCTAGCCGTCCCAGACCCCAGCAGGCAAGAGCGCGGCCGCCAGCCCGAGGCCCCGCCCACCCCAGGAGGAGGAGAGGGGGTGGTCGGCCGCAAACCGCACTCAGCGAGAAGCCGGCCCCGCCCCTTTCTCCACAATCGCACGCGCGCGCCGGCCCCGCCTCTGAGCGGCGGCGCGAGAGCCCGCCCCCCTCCGCGCGCACCGGGACTACGCTCTCCTCCCCCTCCCGCGAGGAGAGCTACCCTGCTCCGCCCCCCACCCCCCTCACACAGTCACACACCTCCCGCCCGTCTGCTCTACGGGAAGCCGAGGAGGTCAGCCCCCCCTAAAAATACACACCCTCGAGTCCGGCGTTACCCGCCACTAGGCTCCCGCCCGGCCCCCGGCCCAGCGTGCTCTCACCGCAAAGCTGCTTCGGCCGCTCGTCACTGCGTGTCCCTCTCGGCGTGAGCCGCGAGCTCAGCAGGGAGGCCCTGAGAACGGCGCGGGGCACAGGCCCGCCGAAGCGGACTGCCAGCTACCTCTCCGCTAACGAAGCGGTCACAGGCCCCGGTGCCCAGACTGGGAAGGAGGGAGGGAGGGAGGGAGGGAAACTCCGAGGGGGGAAGGGGAGGGGGGAAGATGGAGAAACCGTCTCCGCAGCCTCTACCGCCGCGGCCGCTTCTCTGTTACCCGGGAAATCCCGCCCACTCCCCCGACCCCGCCCCGCAGGGGGAAGACTCAGCTTCGTTCCAACACAGGACGCAATACCCGCCCGTCAAAGACTGAGCCAATCACCGAGCCCTGCCTTATGACTTCCCGCCCCTTCCCCCTCGACTGGGAGGGAGGGGGAGCCGCTCACCTTCTCCACGCCCCTATTGGCGGGGAGCTTCCCTAACTCAACCCCGCCTATTGGAGACAGACTGCTGAAGCCCACCCCCGAGCCACAACGCTATTGGAGGAAGCCGGAAAGCTCTTCCTGTCTCATTGGAGGACACCACATAACCCGCCCCGCAGCGTCTCAGCCACAGGCCTAACAAGTTGGCTCCCGCCTCCGCCGGTCATCGCATTGGAAGGCTACCCCTGGCTCTCCCACCGCCCCAGTAAGGTAAGTAACCGATGTGGGGTAAAATGTCTGTAAGTGAAACAGGCTCCGCCTACCGCACTGCCGGGCCAGGCCCCGCCCCAAGAGTTGGATTGGATATCTTGGCACTGGTAGGACCCTCCATTGGCCAGGGCGCCCGTCTAGGAAGGAACTTAATTCCGCTCTGCGCGAGGAGGCTGAACCTTAGCAGTCCTTTTGTGGAATGTTTACACTAGAGACTGAAGCTCGGAGTTCCAGGGCCCGAGACAGAAGGGGGAGCGGAGCTCATCAGCGGACACTCCACATCCTAGGATTTGAAGGAAAGGCAGTCCACCCCGGAGGACTCTCTTACAAAAAAAATGAGAATGCGAACTCATCCTCCCTATCCAGTTATCTTTGCAGTTTACATTCTACACACTGCGTCCTTGTAAACACAAATATCCGGAGCAGCTGGCAACTCCTTTCAGTCAAGTAGAGTACAGAACTAAGGTCTGGAGACCTAGGCGGAGAAATAACCCATAACCCCAAGGGTTGCCAGCGCACTCCCTAGAGCTGAATGTGCAGTCCTAAGAGGGCGGAGATAACCAAAAGAGAGGCGGGCCCTAACAGCCACCGCCCTGGCAAGCCTCCGGAAGGCGGAGCGTGAGGCACAAGGTACTCACGATCTCCCGGGTGGATCTGTAGGCATCCTCAGAACTGAGAAAGGAGAGAAAAGGACCAAAACAGGCCACAGCATAAATTAACCTTGGGAACATGCCACACTCAGAGAAAGGATAAAACTTCCGTAGTTGGGGACATAACGGCTGTTCACCTTCTCCTTAGCCAGGAGTGTTAATGGTCCCTGTGCCCTCTCTGTGTAGGTAACAGTGCCTCGAACGCACAGTGAGACAAAGTGCTTTCAATTCCTAGTTTGCTTTTATTTATTCACCAAATAGGGCGTGGGCCTGACGCTGACCTTACTTTGTGGGGCGCTCTCTCGGCGCCAGGAGGGGACGGGATTACGTTGTTACCGCTCTCCCGAAGAAGTAGAATCCTCCTCCTGGAGAGCTAAGACCCCAAGGGACAGGCCCAGGGAACCCACTCCTAGGTCCAACTCTGTCCTCCCTCTGCAATCCAGCGGAAACGGCCAGGAAAGAGCTCTGGCAGCAGGTGGGCCTCACTCCAACGATGGCTTCGAGCCGCGAAACCACAGCAGCGAATTGCGAACTCCAAGGGTAGCCGACAGGTGGGAGCAGCCTCGCCAGTAGCGAAACCTTGCCCCAGGACAGAGGTCTAAAAGTAAGTCAGACCAACAAAGCGACCCCCGGGCCAAACTGCTCCCAGGTTAGGAGGAAGCGGCACTCCAGCAGAACTGACCCAAGGCTACTTTTAACTTTGCGCTGCCTTCCACCACTAGACTGAGTGGCACAGGGCATTCCCACCATGGTATCAAGAACTACTCAGAACCCAAGCCAGCATTAGGCTGCCCACCACTTCCCGTGAACACAGGGTACCACCTGCGCTGGATCTTGCCTAAGGGCCCGAGGGCAGGGCACTAGGTTGGCAGAGTCTCGGATACAGCCAACTAAGGACAGCTGCTACCATGCCTAGGGAAGAACAAACACTTCCAGCGTCTGCAGAGTTCTCGAGCTTAAGCTCAGGGAAGTCAAAGGGCGCGGAAATAGCCAAGCGACAGGGTTAGAACTTTAGTACTTGGCCCCGGCCCCGAAGGGCAGATCTCATTTGCCCTGCAGAACCTACGAAGCTTTGCTCCCGAAATCCACTCCGCACTGTAATCCCCTGGCTTCACCCCGAAGGCTACCAGGTCTCCAGCCTCGGTGGAACCTTTGTGTGGCTTCTCGGCTCTCCCCGCCCCCCTCGCCAAGGGCGCCGAGCCTAGGACTTCCGGGCGGGAGGGCAGTTCGAAGGAGCTAGGCGGGCCTCACACATGTGCGGAGCGCGCTCAAGAGCGAAGGAGGGAGGCGGGGAACAAGGCTGGACTTCCCCCTCCGAGCTCTCTCCGCCGGAGGAGGCCGGGCTACCAGTCCCACCAATCCGAGGCGGGGGCGGGACCTTGCGCCTCGCGTCAGCCGCAAGAACCCTCCCTCCTCCCTCCGCGGAAAAAAAAATCCTAGCAACTTAAACTCCAGCCCGGCCTCCCGATAGGCGGAGCTCGGGAGAATGTCATCCAATCCACATCCGAAAAGGGGAAAAAAAGGGAGTCTCGTCCAGCCAGTGGAAGACAAGAGAAGGCGGGGCCTCCGGGCGAGCCCGAGGTGGGTGGGAGAGAGGAAACGGGCCCGCCCCTCAGCTCCCCTCCAGGCGGGTTGCACAAGCCGCCAGCGGAGTAGATAGTAAACAGTCTGGGCCGAGGAGTGCAGGCAGGTGCCGCCCGGCGCTCGGTGGACTGGGCCCCTGCGCCGCCTCTCCCGGCGTCGCCCCGCCCGGCCGGGACGGTTCCCGCCGGCGCCCCGCCTACCCGCCCGCCATCCCGGCTGACAGGCGCGCCCCTCGCGCCCCTCCCCGCCCGCTGATGCATTTCCTTTTCCCGATTCCGAGCGTGGAGACTGTTTTCCCAGTTTCCGACCTTCACTGCCCCTTTCAGGCCACCCCCTCGTGGGCGCGCACACGCCCGCGCCCTCGCCCCCGCCCCATCCGCGCCGAGCGGTCCGCAGCGGCATCTCGCAGGAAGGGGGAGCCCGGCGGCGGCACGGCCGGGGGAGGGGAAGAGAGCAGCAGTCGCCGCCGCCGCCTTGGGGTGGGCGGGGAAGCAGGCAGCTCCATGTTTGCAAGGGGATCAGCCGGGACCGCGGGGCGAAGCCGCCGAGTTCCTGGGGGTTTTCCGTACCACCGGTGCGAGCTCGTTGCCGGCTCGTGGCCTGCCGGGTGCCGGCACCAAATGCCGACTCGACCGCCAAGGCCAGGGAGTTTGGAAACCCGGCAGCTCGCGGGGCTAGCGGCGAGACGCAGGGGATCTTTCCGGTGGCCTCTCCCGCCCCCGGCCGCCCCTCCCGCAAGTCCAGTGTTGCCCCCGCCCCCAGAGTCCATAACAACCGCGGGCCTACAGTGCCCGCGCCTCTCCGGAGCGCGCCCACCGCCCCCTCCAAGTTTGCAGGCAGAAACAAAACCCTCGAGGCGGCTGCCGCCCTTGTCCAGCGTGGGTAGCCAGGAAAGCCGCGGGCCCCGGCTCGCTCGCTAACTCCAGCTCTCGAGCAACTCCGGGCTCCGCGAGCTCAGTGGGCCCCGCCGACCATGCTCGAGCCGCCGCCCCCTGCCGAGCCCGCACGCCGCAGCTCTGGCCCGGTTCTAGTCGGTGTGCGGAATCTCCCTTTTCTTTCTAATATTTTTCTTTTTTAAAAAACGGCACAACAGGAACTGGGGGTCTCCTGCCCGCCCCTTCTCCAGTCCGCCGCCAAAACCTACCGAAACGGACTGCTCGGTGAGATAAACTAGGCAACACGGCCGGCGCAGGGACGACCCCAGGCCGGGCCCACCCCCTCCCCACGGCTCCGGCCCGGCTGGGAAACACACACACTGGCGAGCGGGCGGCGCCAAGAGCTCTCCTTCCTGGCCTGTCCCTCGCCTACCTCGGCCGCGGAACTCCGAGCCTCCCCTCAGCTCGGTCCCAGGGCCCACGGGGCCCACACCACGTCGGGCCGGCCAGACCGAGCGGCCGGCGGACTAACCCCCCAAACGCCTGAGATTGGGGGGACCAAATTAAAAGCAGCTGTTTAACATACCTTCCGAGCCAGGCGAGGAGTCCTGAATGGGGGGAACGCCCCCCATGGGCTATTGGCTCCCCGGCGCTCACGTCAGTCACCCTGGGCCCGCCTCCGCCCTTCGCCCCGCCTCTTCCCCTTCATTGAACGCCCCCTCCTTCCAAAAAATATAAATAAATTAATTGAACTAAACGCGAGTGGGAGACGCATCCGTGGTAGAGGCCCTTATAGCTCCCTCTCCGCCGACTCAAGTTTCTTGAGGTCCTCGGACTGGAGGGAGGCCTTCTGGGACTCGGAGATCCGCTGGGTGGACGCGGAGGAGGAGCCAGCGGGGCTACCCGGCCCCAACTTCCTTCACACACACAACCCATTTGGAACTAGGTAGAAGAGGAAGGTAGGAGCACCCTGGCCACTGGCTGGAGTGGGCAGACCCCTCTGGCTGTGTGACCTAACCGTGTTCGGTCCGCTCTGTTAGGCGCCTAAAAATGAGTGATGCAAACGGGAAGCTCTGCGTCCGCGGGCAACAGGCACTTGTCTGAGCACCTACTGTGGGTGAGGCAGACATTCATACCGTACCTGCTGCTGGGTGCAAATACAGACTGGATGACATGCTTACTCTACTCCTCCAAGGGCTCCAGATTCAGCCGAGGAGATTCTACGTAAAGAACTAAGTCAAGGCAGGAATGTGTATGAAAATAGGAGTTTGTATGTAAATAGGAGCTCAGAGAAGAGAGATTCCTTCTCGCTGAAGGAAAATTGGGAAAGGTTTCATGGAGGAGGTGGCATTCAAGTTGGGTCTTAAAGATTTCATCCAGCAGAAGTGGAGTGGCAGGTCATTTTCAGCAAAGGACACAAAGGGGTAAATGCAAAAACACCTTCATATGTGACTGTAGTAATTTTAAAAAGTGGGGGTGGGGAGATGGAACAAACAGTTTAAGACTTTTAATTGGGTAAAATTCTTGGATGTGCACAGCAGAATGTGCAGGCAGCACGGTCACGAGGCCCACAGGCCCAGAACTATAGTGTAAGATGTTTGGCACCCTGGCAGAAAGATGGGTTCTGACGATGCACTGAGAGAGAAGTGTCTATAGGCAGCAAGGGGAGGCCCAGAGGCTGTTGTATTACTGTATTTGGAGACTACAGAAGTGTCTCTTGTGGAAGGAATAGCCGAGGGAAGAGAAGGCTTACTTTCTCTATCAAAGCCACCCAATCCCAAAGCTTTCCCCACCTTCAGCAGCCCTCAAGTCAAAGCTTTGACTCAGATCCTTCCTTGCATCATTTGCTTTATTTATCATAACTTTCAACCAAAAGGAGTTTCTAGGGACAGAAGCTACCCCACATGTCTGTATTGCAGAGAGCTGAGCCTAGAGCCAGGGCACACAATGTGGGGAAAAAAAAAAAAACCAAACCTGTTTGTTGAGGCATTGAGGAAAGGAAGTTAATGTGGCTAAGGTGGGGTGTGCAGAATGTGAAGGACCTTGGCGTCCATTGGGCAGAATGAGGGCCTGCTGCCGGTTAGGAAATTATTGAGAAATCTATCCCAGTAATTCAGAAGACACGTAAGCAGGATTGACCAGAACAGTGACCGTGGGTGAGAAGAATTTTTTTTTTTTTTTTTGAGACGAAGTCTTACTCTGTCACCCAGGCTGGAGTGCAATGGTGTGGTCTCAGCTCACTGCAACCTCCGCCTCCCAAGTTCAAGTGGTTCTCCTGCCTCAGCCTCCAGAGTAGCTGGGACTACAGGCTACAGGCGTGTGCCACCACATCCGGCTAATTTTTGTATTTTTAGTAGAGACAGAGTTTCACTATGTTGGCCAGGTTGGTCTCCAACTCCTGACCTTGTGATCCACTCGCCTCGGCCTCCCAAAGTGCTGAGATTACAGGCATGAGCCACTGCACCCAGCCCATGAGAAGAATATTGAAGGAGAGCCTGTATTTGAGAAAAACTCAAGGGGAGTGGGTGAATGATTCAGTGTGGGTAGTAGCCTGTGGCCTGCTGTGTGAAGAGTTGATAGAGCTTGAGGCTACTAGTTAGGTAATCTGGGTTCTACACTTAGCATGGTGAGTGACTGGTGTTATAGTCTTAGGCAAGTCTCTTCCTCCCTCTGAGCCTCAGTTTCCTCGTGAAATAGGGGTGGAAATTGGAATAGAAAGACTCTAAACACCTTACATAGGATCCAAGTGGGGGAAGCTTGCCACTGAGGAGACAGGGTAGGTGGGAAGAACCGATTTTGGAAGGGCAGTGGGTCACCCCAAGTGGAGTCTGGAGACTGGAATGTGGGCAGTAGCTCAGTCGATTGAATTATTGGGCAAAAAGTATGGAGAAGGAAAAGCCAGGAGATAAGGACTATGTGTTCAGCAGGAGGCCCACCCTGGCAGATCCATGGAGGTCAAGGTTCATCCTCCCTAGGGTGAGGACCAAGTTTTTCTTCAGAACAGACATCCCAGCTGGACAACATAGCAAGACCCTGTCTCTACAAAATATTTAACAATTAGCTGTGCGTGGGCTAGGTGCTGTGGCTCATGCCTGTAGTCCCAGGACTTTGGGACGCCAATCACCTGAGGTCAGGATCACCTGAAGGCAGATCACCTGAGGCCAGGAGTTCAAGACCAGCCTGGCCAACATGAAGAAACCCTGTCTCTACTAAAAATTTAAAAAAATTAGCCAAGTGTGGTGGTAGGCGCCTGTAATCCCAGTTACTCAGGAGGCTGAGGCAGGAGAATCACTTGAACTGAGTGAGCCGAGATCGCGCCACTGCACTCCAGCCTTGGCGATAAAAGCTAAACTCCATCTCAAAAAAAAAAAAAATTAGCTGTGCATGGTGGCATATGCCTACAGTCCCAGCTACTTGGGAGGCTGAGGCAGGAGAATCGCTTGAACCCAGGAGGTGGAAGTTGCAGTAAGCCGAGATCACACCTGCACTCCAGCTTGGGTGACAAGAGCAAAACCCTGTCTCAAAAAAAAAAAAAAAAAAAATTAGCTATCCGTGGTGGCAGCATGCCTACAGTCCCAGCTACTTGGGAGGCTGAGGCAGGAGAATTGTTTGAACCTGGGAGGCGGAGGTTGCAGTGAGCCTAATCATGCCACTTCACTCCAGCCTGGGCGAAAGAACGAAACTCTTTGAGAGTTTTTTTTGAGACAGAGTCTCAAAAAGAACCCAGCCGGGTGCAGTGCCTCACACCTGTAATCCTAGCACTTTGGGAGGCCCAGGTGGTTGGATCACCTGAGGTCAGAAGTCCAAGACCAGTCTGGCCAACATGGCAAAACCCCATCTCTACTAAAAATAGAAAAATTAGCTGGGCATGGTGGTGGGCGCCTATAATCCCAGCTACTCAGGAGGCAGAGGCCGGAGAATCACTTGAACCCAGGAGGCAGAAGTTGCAATGAGCCGAGATTGCGCCACCTCACTCCAGCCTGGGCGGGGAAGAGTGAAACTCCATCTCAAAAAAAAGAAAAAAAAGGCCGGGCACGGTGGCTCAAGCCTGTAATCCCAGCACTTTGGGAGGCAGAGACGGGCGGATCACGAGGTCAGGAGATCGAGACCATCCTGGCTAACACGGTGAAACCCCGTCTCTACTAAAAAACACAAAAAAACTAGCCGGGCGAGGTGGCAGCGAGGTGGCGGGCACCTGTAGTCTCAGCTACTCAGGAGGCCGAGGCAGGAGAATGGCGTGAACCCGGGAGGCGGAGCTTGCAGTGAGCTGAGATCTGGCCACTGCACTCCAGCCTGGGCGACAGAGCGAGACTCCATCTCAAAAAAAAAAAAAAAAAAAAAAGAAAAAAAAAAAAAGAATCCCCTGATGTCTGGATCCCCATCTCAAATTCATTCCTGCTCTACTTCTTAATTTCTGAACGGGCTCTGGCTGAAGGCATAACAGATACTGTGTCAAAGTGAGATGAGGCAGATTGGTGGTGAAGCAGAAAGAACTAGTCTGGAAGTTGAGTCCCCTGGTTCCCACTTGGTCCCTTCTTATCTGTGGATCAGCTTCCTCTCCTATATTAAGAGGATAACATAGCAATCCTTGCCCTGTTATGAGGATCAAATGTGATGATAAAGTGTGCTTTATCACCTGGTAAGGTTCTGAGCTGCTGTGGAAGCCAAAGACCCAGCATTTGACAGTGATACTAGGTAGCATGTGTGCTATGGATGCAGTTACTCATGGAGGATTTACAACTGGAACAGTTACCGCCACTCAGAGAACCAGGCTTTGCTGACACTGCCCATGGTCCTATGTGTGCCACACTGGTGGGGACCTCCTTCTGAACACTTGGCAGACTGAGTTTCTTGAGGACAGACACTATGATTCACCTCTGAGCCCCAGAGCTCACTGTAGTCAGGTACATGGGGCCCTTTGGAAGGGTCCAGTGATGGTTTCTGACTCAGTATGTTGACACCTGGACAGCAGAGCAAGTCCCACATTCTTTGGAAAAGAGAATCCTTGATTTGGTGACATTGTCCCTCCAGCTGCCAGCTGCACTGAGGGGTTGCATCCATGCTACTCCCGCCACTACCCTATCAGTGAAGACAAAACTAAGTGGACTTTGTGAACCAACTGGTATAGGTAAAAATAATAATGATAATAACAAAATAAAATTAAGTGGACTTGGGTAAGGGCCCTCCTAGGAGAAATCACATTGGTAGGTCAGGTTCTGTTTCCTGGAGGCCCCTTTTATGTGAAAAGTCTCATAGACCAGCCTGGGGAACACAGTGAGACTGTCTCTACAAAAACTAAAAACAAATTTAGTTGGGCATGGTGGCATGTCCCTGTGGTCCCAGCTACTCAAGAGGCTGAGGCAGGAAGTTCACCTGAGTCTGGGAGATTAAGACTGCTCTTAGCTGTAATCACACCACTGCACTCAAGCCTGGGAGACAGAGCGAGACCCTGTCTCAAACAACAACAACAAATTCTTGTAGAGTTTGTGAGTTAGGGATTATTATCCTTAGTTATAGATGAGCAAACTGAGGCCAACAGCAGTAGAGTGACTTGCTCAAGTCAAATAGCTAAGGGAAGTCTAGGTCCAAAGCCTGAGCTTTACCTCCACTCCCACATGCTGTCTTTGTGCACTCCAGCTGGTGACCCAGGTTGGGGCCCGGAGAAAAACAGCCTGATTCTTCTGTTGTTCCACACTCCTCACCTCTCTAACTTAAAGATCAGTTTATCCTCAGACAATTCTAAATGATTTCTGGCCTTTTCCAGAAAATTATCCAGAAAAGCAACATTTGTCTGATGCACATACATACATACACAAAAGACCTAAACTCACAACACATAAACTCAAATCTGTCACACCTCCTGACACCCTCAATCTCACAGGCGTCGCACATACACCCTCTCTCATTCACAAAAAGGACTCATTCAAAGTTCTTTAGGGCACTTATGGTAGGTGGTGATTAAGAGACATTTAGGGCCTGCATTCCAGTGACTCTGCCAAGGATATCAGTGCCAGCACCCTGTCGACACAATCTCTGAGGGCTAATTCTCTCAGTAATATCCAGGTAAGGAGGATATGAGGCTGGCTCCCACAACCCAAAGCATCTTCTAGGTTCAAGGCAAGATGATTTTGGCAAATCATTTATCTTTTCAGTTTCTTTATCTGTAATCTAAGAATCAGAATACCTACTTCAGTGGGAAGATGTGAGATTTAAAATTAAGTGTGCCTGCCAGGCGTGGTGGCTCACACCTATAACCCCAACACTTTGGTTCAGGAGGTCAGGAGATCAAGACTATCCTGGCTAACACTGTGAAACCCCCGTCTCTACTAAAAATACAAAAAATTAGCCGGGCATGGTGGCACACACCTGTAATCCCAGCTACTTGGGAGGCTGAGGCAGGAGAATCACTTGAGCCGGGGAGCCAGAGGTTGCAGTGAGCCAAGATGCCACCACTGCATTCCAGCCTGGGTGACAGAGCAAGACTCTGTCTTAAAAAAAAAAAATTAAGTATCCCTAGCATTCAGTCAAGAGTTCTTCTACCTTTTTTCCCCTCCTTTATCTCATCCCTACTTCCCTCTTCTCCTGGCCATTCAAATGCAAAGTCCATTTGAGCAATGAGCCCTGCCAGCAGGCCTAGAGGGCCAAATAATCCCATGATGTGAAGAAACTCCATTTTTCTTGCAACCAGGTTTAGATGGCATATATTCCGTAATTTCTGATTTCTAGGTGGCCTTGGAAGCTCGGAATTTTTGAAGGAATTTTATGACTGCTACTCACTGCCTTGAAATGTTTCACCTGGCTGAGCAGTAGTTTACCCTTCTGGGACACTCAGCATGTTCCTCAGTTTACCTGGCTTTATGTTTTCAAAGTGTTTACTTCTCTTTACCAGTTGTTTGGTGGCCTGTTTTTTTTTTTTTTTTTTTGAGACAGAGTTTCGCTCTTGGTGCCCAGGCTGGAGTGCAATGGCACGATCTTGGCTCACCGCAACCTCCATCTCC